AAATAGGAAATAGGAAATAGGAAATAGGAAATAGGAAATAGGAAATAGGAAATAGGAAATAGGAAATAGGAAATAGGAAATAGGAAATAGGAAATAGGAAATAGGAAATAGGAAATAGGAAATAGGAAATAGGAAATAGGAAATAGGAAATAGGAAATAGGAAATAGGAAATAGGAAATAGGAAATAGGAAATAGGAAATAGGAAATAGGAAATAGGAAATAGGAAATAGGAAATAGGAAATAGGAAATAGGAAATAGGAAATAGGAAATAGGAAATAGGAAATAGGAAATAGGAAATAGGAAATAGGAAATAGGAAATAGGAAATAGGAAATAGGAAATAGGAAATAGGAAATAGGAAATAGGAAATAGGAAATAGGAAATAGGAAATAGGAAATAGGAAATAGGAAATAGGAAATAGGAAATAGGAAATAGGAAATAGGAAATAGGAAATAGGAAATAGGAAATAGGAAATAGGAAATAGGAAATAGGAAATAGGAAATAGGAAATAGGAAATAGGAAATAGGAAATAGGAAATAGGAAATAGGAAATAGGAAATAGGAAATAGGAAATAGGAAATAGGAAATAGGAAATAGGAAATAGGAAATAGGAAATAGGAAATAGGAAATAGGAAATAGGAAATAGGAAATAGGAAATAGGAAATAGGAAATAGGAAATAGGAAATAGGAAATAGGAAATAGGAAATAGGAAATAGGAAATAGGAAATAGGAAATAGGAAATAGGAAATAGGAAATAGGAAATAGGAAATAGGAAATAGGAAATAGGAAATAGGAAATAGGAAATAGGAAATAGGAAATAGGAAATAGGAAATAGGAAATAGGAAATAGGAAATAGGAAATAGGAAATAGGAAATAGGAAATAGGAAATAGGAAATAGGAAATAGGAAATAGGAAATAGGAAATAGGAAATAGGAAATAGGAAATAGGAAATAGGAAATAGGAAATAGGAAATAGGAAATAGGAAATAGGAAATAGGAAATAGGAAATAGGAAATAGGAAATAGGAAATAGGAAATAGGAAATAGGAAATAGGAAATAGGAAATAGGAAATAGGAAATAGGAAATAGGAAATAGGAAATAGGAAATAGGAAATAGGAAATAGGAAATAGGAAATAGGAAATAGGAAATAGGAAATAGGAAATAGGAAATAGGAAATAGGAAATAGGAAATAGGAAATAGGAAATAGGAAATAGGAAATAGGAAATAGGAAATAGGAAATAGGAAATAGGAAATAGGAAATAGGAAATAGGAAATAGGAAATAGGAAATAGGAAATAGGAAATAGGAAATAGGAAATAGGAAATAGGAAATAGGAAATAGGAAATAGGAAATAGGAAATAGGAAATAGGAAATAGGAAATAGGAAATAGGAAATAGGAAATAGGAAATAGGAAATAGGAAATAGGAAATAGGAAATAGGAAATAGGAAATAGGAAATAGGAAATAGGAAATAGGAAATAGGAAATAGGAAATAGGAAATAGGAAATAGGAAATAGGAAATAGGAAATAGGAAATAGGAAATAGGAAATAGGAAATAGGAAATAGGAAATAGGAAATAGGAAATAGGAAATAGGAAATAGGAAATAGGAAATAGGAAATAGGAAATAGGAAATAGGAAATAGGAAATAGGAAATAGGAAATAGGAAATAGGAAATAGGAAATAGGAAATAGGAAATAGGAAATAGGAAATAGGAAATAGGAAATAGGAAATAGGAAATAGGAAATAGGAAATAGGAAATAGGAAATAGGAAATAGGAAATAGGAAATAGGAAATAGGAAATAGGAAATAGGAAATAGGAAATAGGAAATAGGAAATAGGAAATAGGAAATAGGAAATAGGATTTATATTGTTTGCTTAAGTTATTTAGATTTCAAGAAAGTGGATTATTTTATCGGGTATTGTGTTTTAATAATTTTGTGCTCATTTAAAATGGAAAATAGGACCAACTATTATTAGATTGTAAGTTTCCAAATTATATTTTTGTAAGTCAATCTTTGGTATAAACTTTTAATAATATTGTATATGATTCTTTTTTATATCCAAAAAACGTTTACTTGTTTATTAAAATAAAATTAATTAAACACATTGGCTGCCCATAATTTTATTATGTGCCTAGACCGCACCGTGTGCGTTCTATGCAGGCATTGTTTTCAAGGCCTGTAATTTAAACGGTACCGAGTTTACGCCGTTCCGTCCTAGGTAGCGCATTTGGCACAAGTTCAGCAGTAGCGCCGCAGTGTTGGTTCGTGGCTGACGTGTTTTTTGTTGCTTTGGTGTACTGCTAAACTTTAAATCAATTTAACTATGTTTGCAAGCATTTCGTAATTAAGTACATTGTTTTGTATGTTGTTAGTTCATTAAAAAACGTAATATATACATGATATTACATAGTTTTCATAATTTGCCCGTGCTGCAAGTTGTTTGACCGCGTTAAGCGCACACAGTTAATGCATATGCGTAATAATAAATCTATTTTTTTAGACCTGTATTTTTTTCTATGTTACCTGGGCAATCTAGAACGGATGAACCACCCAAAAAACCTAATAGATATGACCCATATGAAGAAAAAGTTTAGGCAGAGAAGGAGATACAAGAGGAGCTGCGTGCAATTTTGAAGGAAGCTGCAGGCGAAGATGAACCGTTTCCTAACGACAGTGTCGTATGGGAAGATGAAGATGAGGAAGATCCGTTTCTTAACGAAAGCAAGGACGATCCACATTATGTGGATGAAAGTGAAACTAACAGCGATTCAGACGACGATGAAATACTTGCGACAGCTGCCAGGCGGATCTCACCGACAACTCCCGTGCTGTCTTCCGCTGCATCAACTTCACCGACTTCTCCTACAACCGTTGTTCCTTCTTAAACTGTTGCAACTTTATTTTCAAATTGGACTGAAACAGTTCCTCAAAAGACAGATATTCCTTTTACGGAAAAGCCTGGATTACTGATCAAACGCTCTGACTCACGACCTATAGATTATTTCTGCTTGTTAGCTACCGACGAGTTTTTCGACAATCTTTTTTAAAAAACAAACAAACATGCTACTGAAGTTCTATCCAGAAGCTATAGTAATCAAACAAGAATAACGGCGATGGAAAGATATCACAGTCCTCGAAATGAAAGTTTTCCTTGGCTTGTTATTTCGCATGGGCACAATAAGAATAAATAGGATAAACGATTATTTGAAAAGACATCACCTTTTTAATTTACCTGCATTTTCAAAATTTATAAGCCGAAATCGTTTCTTGCTCATTTTGAGATCGCTAAATTTTGAAGATACCGATGGCCAGACACCACGAATTCAGATTGGTAAAATACAACCTTTAGTTGATTTTTACAATTTAAGAATGCAAATAATTTATTCTCCAAAAAAAGAGATCACTGGACTAATCAATAGTTCTTTGACACAGTAGGTTTAAGTTTCGATAATACATAAAGGGAAAGCGTCATAAGTTTGGTATAAAATTATACGTTTTGAGTGAACCCACTGGATTACCAATAAAAATACAAGTATATTCTGCGTCATCTGATCCTCTGGTAAGTGGTCAGCAACATACAGAGAAAGTCGTTATGCTTCTCTTGCGCGAAAGATTAGCCTTTGGGCATTCCATTTACATGGATAATTTTTATAATAGTCTGACTGAACAGCTTTTAGAAAACAAAACGTATGTTACTGGAACCCTTAGACTGAATCGTAAAGGCAATCCATCGGAAGTTGTCAGTAAAAAACTTAAAAAAGAAGAACTATTATGTATAATGAAAAAGGGATCTGCGTGTTGAAATGGAAGGACAGGAGAGAAATTTTGGCAATTTCTAGTGAATATGATGGCCAGCTACAAGAAGTCACAACTCGGCGGAAACCAAGTGAACCAAAAACCTGAACTTATAAACAGATACAACCATTTTATATCAGATGTAGACCACGGCTACCAAATAATGGCAAATTACTCCTGCGAGCATAAAACAATTATTTGGTATCAAAAGTTAGAAATCCATATTTTCCAGATGATGCTGGTTGCCTCTCATCATCTATAGAAAGAAGCTATCAATAAATAAACTGATTTGCATGAATATAGGCTGTCGGTTATTGAAAATTTGTTGGGTCCATTTCCACAACCATTTCCACAACCATTTCCACAACCAGTTCCAAAATTAAAATTTTTTTCATTTACCTGAAATGTGCCAACGGTAAAACCAAAAGGCGTCGCTGCCAAGCATGTTGGAATAAGAACAAGCAAATGAAAGATTCCATTTATTATTGCCCAACATGCCCGGAAAAACCTGGATTTTGTTTGACGCCCTGTTTCAGGGTTTTTCACGCAAACATGTAATACTTTTATGGAGTTTGAATAGTTCCTACTTTTATTTTATAGTCTTACAGTCTTTTATATTTTGTGTTACTTATTTTTAGAAATTTTATGTTTTTGTTTATTATTTCATGCAATATTTTACTATTTTTAATAAAATGTTTGTTTTAGAAGAATTTGTTTGTTTTTTCTGATGGTACACGTGTGGCGCGTTCAGTGGCACATAACGTAAGAAAGTTCATGCCCCGTGCCTACACCGCGCTAGGAGAGTTTTTGTTTTTTTTTGTAAAAAAAGCTTGAAATCAGTTAGCTATCATCACTTTCTAACTAAGTTCATATATATTTTTTAGTTTTAATAAAAAAAGGAGAGTGACACGTAAGGTACTGCACGGTATTTTCTGGGCAGCGAATGTGTTAAAGGGTATTCTCGGGCTTTTAGTCCAAAGTGAAATAAAAGATTCAAATATTAAGATACGTATACATTTATATACAATTAGAAATTAATTTTTTATAAAATTGAAAACAGTTTAATAGCTTACCTCAACAATTTATTAATTCTGAGGGCCGGTTACGTAAATATCTGTGCTAAAATGGCAAAGACACTTGAAAGTGCCGATGCTCATCACTCTTCTGGGAAGATAATTTTCCATATATCAATATTCGCCTGCTTTGATTTAGCCCAAGAATACCCCTAAAAATAATTAAATGAAAAACAAAAATAATAGGTAAAACAAAATAATTCAATAGGTTACCATTGAAACTTTAAAAATGGTCAACAATAATTATAGTGCTATTACCTAAAATATAGATGCAGAAAAGGCTTGATCCATACCAGACTACATAAATCAGAATAATTTCTAATTCGGTTTTTGGTATCGATTTACCATATCCGGCATTATAAAGCAATAAAGACTTATGATGCAGGGCATTTATATATTTTATCCAAATACAATCGGGAATCAAGTATCTGAAAATTATTTAAAAATAAAATTATTAATGATTTGTTGTAAACGTTAAACACATTTTGTAATAATGCAATAAAAAGAAAATGTATTTATATACAGGGTGATAAAAAATAATTTTAATCGGTATTTTCTCGTTACCACTGCTGAAAGTTATAAATTTTAAAACATGATTCATGCGGTGAAATTTTTTCCATTGCTAATTTTTTGTAACGTTTTACGTAACAGTAACTAACCGATGTGAAGTTAACAGCCAGGTTTCAGTATCCAATTTACAGAAAACACCCGAACCCACAGTTACGTTAAAAAGTACTTTTCTATAAAGAGAACAGAGTATTAAAATAAAATTTTCACCAAATTTTTAGGATGTAATGTACAAAATTACGTTGACTGCTTAGGGCAGGGCGGCTAGCTACTGCAGAGGATGAAGTGGTCCGCTAAAATTTTGTTTATTAGGGCGCCAGGTAAGTTTGCCAGCACACCCAGGATACATCCAGTAACCTACCAACATTGTGTATCCTAAGGCCCAAGATTTAACGCATATACTCTTAAAAAAAAAACAATAAAATTGCGCCTATTATAACTAAGTAAAAAATAGTAATCGTAAATTTAGCCTACAAGCAATAAGTATGAAATTATGTAGCTATAAGCTAAGCTACAGTTATATAAAGTATTTTTTTTTTGTTAGAGTATTGACTAACCTACAATTTTATTCTAAAAATCTTACAAACTAATTACTTATCTATAAAGTCTTCATTGGGCTGTCTTAAAAGTTTCTATAGAAAAGCATCACAAGTTGGCGTGACGATTTATTACACTGTTTTACACTAGCACTAACTTAACGTTCACTGCACTAGCTCAAACGGCTTCTTTCTTTTGGGCCTTCTGTTTAGTGTAGAGGTGTCCAGTAATTGCAGCGCTTCTTCATTGACGTGGGAGTGGAGTTGACCCTCATGTTTCGCCGCAAATCTCTTTATTTCTTCTTCGATTGTTGGCATCTTCAGGTCTCTATGAAGATAATCGTTTCGATAGAACCAAGGTGCATCAAAAATGAATCTCAGCAGTTTATTTTGGAAAACTTGTATCACTTTGATGTTACTCTTGCTGGTACATCCCCATAGCTCTATGCCATAAATCCAGATTGGTTTACAAATCAACAGTTTGTTGTTCACTGACAATTTGGAATTTCTTTCTGGGAGTCAATACATTTTTTTGAATTGAAGTTCAAGTTCTTTACACCTTTTTTCATGTGCTCTTTCCATTTAAGTCTTACATCTAGGTTCATCTCTAGGTATTTGGCCGAATCGTGATTCGGAATAACGTCATTGTTTATTCTTATTTGTTTTTGATCATTTGGTAGAAGAGTAAAATCAACATGCCCTGTTTTAATTTGATTTATTTTTATTTTCCACTTTTTGTCCATCAATTGATTCTGTTGCAGGTTTCCTGAAGGTTTTCTGAGGTCTCTGTATTAGTTCCGCCAACTGCCAATATTGCAGTTTAATCCGCAAATGTTGCTATTTTAACACATTGTTGTTGAGGAATATCAATGCGTATATAATAAGTAAAGAACCGGTCCTAGCACACTACCTTGTGGAAACCTGCTTTAATTTTTTTTATTTTGGAGTATGCCTCGTTTTGCTTTACTCTAAACATTCTTTCCGTTAGATATTATTGTAGAATGTGGACATATTGTCGGGAGCATTTTTTCAAGTTTCTGTATTAGGCCGGCATGCCAAACCTTGTCAAATGCTTGGACTACGTCAAAAAATATAGCTGAGCATATTGTTACGCAAGTTTTTGGTATTACAATTTATTTCAACTGAACTTTAACAATAACAATGCAACTGATAACATTAACGTGTAACGTCTATCATAAAACTGAAAACTGATGTCAGGATCATCCTTATATAGCTTGCTTGACCCTTTTCGAACCTTCGCGAACTGTCGTCTAGAATATTTTTGACGGGTATTGACATTTCTCGACATTTCTGGATTATTCTATCCTCTTTTACTTGTACTTTTACTTATGACGACCGCAGCACACTGTAGAGCGATGAGTAATATTCCACTTCTTTTTCTATGTGTACGTTTTCTATAATAGCCGCAGGCTACTGCCAGTATCCACTCTTAAATTCTAGCGTGGAAAACCATTTTGCACTTGATAGAGTGTTTAGTGTGTCGTCTATTCGGGGGAGTGGATAGCTGTCTTTCTGTGTTATCTGATTTAATCTTCTATAGTCTACACAGAAACGTATAGATCCGTCTTTCTTAGTTACTAGGAACACAGGTGAGCACCAGGGATCAGAAGCTTCTTCAATGATATTTGCAGCCATCATGTCCTGTATCATATTTGCTACTTCTTTTTGTTTAGCAAATGAAAGTCTTCTAGGTGCTTGACGTATTGGCCTTGCATCGCCTATATATATTCTATGCTGAACAAGACTGGTACGCACCGTAAATTTTCCTGTCTCAAAAATGTCACAGTTGGTATTGATGAATTCTTTGACTTTTCTAAGTTCTTCAGCTGTCAGGTGGTCATAATTTTTAACTAGCCGTTTTACGAAGCTGGCATCAACTAAGTTACTTGTGGTGTCTTTCCCTGTGGAACGGTCTTCGCACTTGATTATGTTTTCCACCAGTGTACAGAGCCCTATTGCTTGTCCTTTTTTCAATTTAAATGGTCTCTTCGTTAAATTGGCAACCCTTACTGGAATTACGTTAACGTTAATAACGTTAACGAGACATCTAGCTACTAGAATTTCGTCACTCACGGATTCTTCACTTTCTGCAATGCCCACATGCAAGCCGTGTGATTTCTAGCTAAGTCTCGCCGAGACGACAGCTTCAGAATTTTGGGGTACTTCTATGTCTTCTTCTACTAGGACCTTTATTGGTTGAGTCTTTTCTTTCAAATTTAGGACAATTTCCTCGTTTCCAATTACCAAGATCTTGTTTTGAAGGTCAATGATAAAATTATTTTGCATAATGTTCATAGCCAGGACACACTGATCTTTAATATCGGCCATCAGAAATAAGTGTTCTATCAGGGTATTACCAATCTGTACGATTGCTGATATCTCGCCTAGAACAGGAGCAATGTGCCTTGTAGCTGTTTCCAGAACTAAGCTTCTTCGAGTTGGTCGTGGTTTTCGATGCAGGATCTCTGTTCGAATGAAAGACTTAGGGCGATGAGTAACATTCCACTTCTTTTTCTACGTGTACGTTTCCTATAATAGCCGCAGGCTACTGCAGGGTGCTGCGTAATAATATATATTTTTCTTAGTAAGCTTTTTAGATGATATCGGCTGTGCTGTGTACTTGATCTATTGTCGAGTGTTTGTTTCTCAAACCAAATTGGTGCGAAGGGATCAGATTTTTATTTTCAATTATTGGTTCTAGTATTAGTTTTTCAAATAACTAAGATATTATCGGTAACAATGATATAGGTCTATATGATGACACTTCATTCGGAGATTTATCTGGCTAAAGGTACAGTTACATCTGACATTTATTGCATGATATTTATGTCTGACAGTTGTTTATTCCAATGTAAACACTCAAAAATATATGTCTGAGAGAAATTTTTGTGTGTATACACTAGACTAAATAACTGTCAGACATAAATATCATGCAATAAATGTCAGATGTAACTGTACCTTTAAGAATTAGGATAACTTTAGCCATTTTCCGTGCATCAGGTATATATTTAAGGCGAAATGCTGCATTTATGAGGTATATTATTTTAACAATAGCCTTCCGTGGTAGTTTCTTTAATATTTCTCCAGTACTAAGATCATATCCTGGGGCTTTCTGTGAGTTGGTGTTTGTCTGAATTTCTTTCGTAACTTCATTGGGAGTAACTAGCGTAATTTCAAGTTGTTCCATGTTATGGATCGTCTCATTTGGAGTATCTTGATTTTTATCTAATTGGAACGTCTTTTGTAGGTGGTCAGCGAAAATATCAGCTTTCTGTTAATTGTGTCTTGGCCATTTGTTATCTATTATTCTGATAGGACAGTGTTTACACGAATTTTTCATCTTTTTAGTTGCCTTTCAGAGTGAATAATCAGTTTATTTATCATCTGTTTGGTATCTGTTGAGAGATTTTTCTTTGTGATTTAGGATTTCTCTTCTTAGTCTTTTGGTAGTCCTATTTAATATGTTTTTATCTTCTGGTGATTTTGTCATCTGCCATTTCTTTCTTAGTTTTTTTTTCCGCTACCAGTTCTCTTATCTTGACCGGATAGTTTTTCCAGCTGTTAATCTTCTTACTTTTGGTGTGTTTATTCATGCAGCTCGCTGGATTTCAACGGTAAACCTTTCCAGTTTTTAATCTAGCTAATTTTTTACTTTTAGTATTATGTATGGTCAGTTGAATAGTATTTGTTAAGTCCTCTTGAAAACCTTTCCAATTAGTTATCCGATTTACTAGGGTCGGTTTTGCTTCTTTTTAAATAACATTATCACTTAAAGTAAGGATTACTGCAGAATGGTCTGAATCAATATCAAAGTTTTCTTCTACTTATGTATAGTTTTGTGAAATTTTCCTCAGAATAAAGAAATCCATAAGGTCTGGAATCTTATTTGGGTCGGTGGGTCAATAGGTGGGTTTTTCAAAAGATTGGTATGTACAACCAAGTTCTAATGCAGCTCGGTGCAATGCCTTTTTTTGCCAATAAATAAAAATAAATAAAAATAAATAAAAATAAATAAAAATAAATAAAAATAAATAAAAATAAATAAAAATAAATAAAAATAAATAAAAATAAATAAAAATAAATAAAAATAAATAAAAATAAATAAAAATAAATAAAAATAAATAAAAATAAATAAAAATAAATAAAAATAAATAAAAATAAATAAAAATAAATAAAAATAAATAAAAATAAATAAAAATAAATAAAAATAAATAAAAATAAATAAAAATAAATAAAAATAAATAAAAATAAATAAAAATAAATAAAAATAAATAAAAATAAATAAAAATAAATAAAAATAAATA